TGGGTGGTCAGAGGAGCAACTAGAGTCCTGTTGCCGTGGCCCAAGCAGAGGCAGGGTTAACTCTGGGGATGGGTTGGCAGGCCTGTTGTTCAGTACTTGGCCCTGTGGCTGAAAGAACAGGACTGGTCAAGGGTGAGACCCAGGTTTCTGGCTCAAACAACTCTGGCCCATTCACCAAGGGAGCAAGGTCCCAGGAAGAGGGAGGAGGAGATTTGTAGTGCAGATCGTGGGTTCAGATGCAGACATGATGAGCCTTATCAGGTCTGGGTCTGGAGTTCATAGGAGAGGTTCAAACTAGAGATACAGATTTTACCTAAAAATGAAGTGTGCAGACCAAAGTTGGATGCTCATGTAGGGAAGAAGAGGACAGCGAGTGAGAACCTCCATCTCTGGCATGGGGGGAAGAGGAGATGCCCACGTGAAAGACCAAGAAGGAGTCGTCAGAGAAACAGGGACTCTGCACTTTTGTGGAATGAAGCCATTGGCTCTTGACTATGTTAGGAAGAACACAGTCACAGTTTCTCTCTCACATTAGAGATGCCTGTTTTGTCATTATGTTAGAGGCTTTTAAAATGTGCATTGACACTCACTGCTTGCAGATCATACTAGCTGTCAGTCACTGGAGATTTTACTCTTTTAGGCTCTTCTTGACTCATGCGATTTTTAAAAATGCACTGATCTCTTCCTGTTCTCCCTTGCTGTGTAGTTGCTGTGTGTTTCTGGAAGGTGTTGGGGCCTGTAAAAAGCTGACAAAACAACCCTTAGATTGTGTACCTCCAGAATGGTCTCTCGAGTCCCATCTTGATGAAACTAAAGAAGTTTTGTGCTCCAGTTGTGCTTATCCCATCTGGATGTGACCTTCCATCCAGTTGGTTTGATGCCAACTCTGACTCCTCCCTCCTTCCCCAGATTGGTTTCCACTTCCTCTCTGTGATGGCCTGTGTCATCCTGGGCATAGCTGCACTGCTCTTGTGTTCAAGTGCCCCGGCACCACCTTAGGAGGAGGTGCTATCAATCAGTTCCATATTATAGGTGAGGAAACCTATAGTCAGAGAGGAGGCGTCGTTTGTCTGACACCCTCAGTCTGGGCTTTACCTCAGGGGTTCCCAAATGGCCCACTCTTAGTCCATTCATTCTGCTGTAACAAGCCATTGTAGACTCAGGGGTTTATGCCTCACAGTCTGGAGCCTGGGGATCAGGATCAAAGCAGCAGTGGTGAGAACCCACTCTCCGATCCACAGACAGATCTTTTTTATTTGTTTGTTTAAAGGTTTTATTTATTTATTTGAGAGAAAGAAATAAGAGAGCACAAGAAGGGAGGAGAAGGAGAAGCAAGCTCACCACTGAGCAGGGAGCCTGATGTGGGACTTCATCCCAGGACCCAGGGATTATGACCTTAGCCAAAGGTAGATGCCTAACTGGCTGAGCCACCCAGGTGCCCGTAAACATCATCCTCTCACTGTGTCCTCACATGTCAGAAGGGGCCAAGGAGCTCTGGGGGGGGGGGTCTCTTTTCTAAGGGCACTAATCCCATTCATGAGGGCTCCACCCCCATGACCTAATGACCTCCAAAAGGCCCACCTCCTCACACCATCATGTCAGGGGTTAGGATTTCAACATATGAAATCTAGGGGAACATAAATAATTCAGACCACAACATCTACCTATCAGAATCATTAAAAAAAAAAAAAAAGAATCACTAGGTAGGGAAGCTTTGAAACACTACAGATTCCTGGGTCCCAGATGGTTAATGCATCCTAGCCAGAGGCTGGTAATATTTGGAAAGCAATGCTCCTTTCCACACCAGATCTTGGATATGTCTGTGGGAAAGTAACAGTAATGAGTATTGAGTATCTAGATCAGGGGTTGGCAAAGTGTTTTTTGTAAAGGGCCAGAAAATAAATATTTTCAGCTTTGCAGGCCATATGGTCTTTGTTGGAACTGCTCAGTTCTGCCATTATATTTCAAAAGCAGCTATAAACAATAGGTAAACAAATAGATGTGGTTGGATTTGGCTCATGGGGTGTAGTGTACCTCTCCTGAGCTAGGTAATTAACCTCATGCATGATGATCAGACAAGCAGTTGAATTTGCCGTTCTCCAGGGGATACTTGGATTTGTGCAACAATACACTACAGGCAGACAGTCCATTCGGGATGTGGCAGGTTGAAACTGCATTCAGCCACCAGGACAAAGACCTGTAAAACAGTAAGCTTGAGTAAATTCAAGACAAATATTTCTCTTTTGTGAAAAAAAAAATGTTTTACAATAGAAAGTCTAGTAATTGGTGTGGTGGCTTCATAATGACATCAGAGACCCATAGTCCCATCTATCTTCTTCATAATCAAGGTTATCTCATGATCACAAAATGACTGCTGGAGCTCCAGTTATCATGTCTTTGAGAAAGGAGGGAGGGAGGGAGGGAGGGAGGGAGGGAGGGAGGGAGGGAGGGAGGGAGGAGGGTAAAAAGGTACTGTTGGTGGAGTCAGATCTCTCCTAAGGGCTTCCTTAGAAGCCCCAGTGAAGTTTTTGCTTACATCCCATTAGCTACTTTTTCCCGCAAGGCAGACAGGAAAATATAGTTGTTTTTTGTTGTTGTTGCTTTTTCCTGAACATATTGCTGTCCCCAGAAATACTGGGAGGAAATGGAGACTGGGTGGGCAATGAGCACTTACTGTGACCCAGGAGGACCCAAAGAATGCCCCAAATGCACTGCGTTAAAGTGCCCCTGAGCCCCACTGGGTTTATTTGTTGATTCATCATGCCTCAATTTATAGAGATTAAGAAAGCCTGAAGTCCCTTTTCTCTACAACTAGCCAGCCCCTCCCAGATCTTCTGGGGTCTAATGTATGTGTCACTCTTACAAATCAAATACTTATATCATCAGGATAATAGTCCTATCAATCATCATACCACTGCTTGGACACCCAGTGCCAAGCAGCCTTTTGAGATAAACCTTTCCCTCTCGGCAGCTTTTTACCCCTTTTGTCTTCCTCTGCTGTGTATCTGCTGGAAGTCTGCTTCCGGAGGTTACACATCATCTTGGTCTTTCCTCCAAGGTCTCTTCCCTCTCTACCCGAGGTTCACTTGGTCACCCCTTCATTGCCTGCCTTCTTTGTTATAATTTGGCTGCAGATCCTCTCGTGGGGCCCGTGGTTCTCAGATTTACAGTGTGTGAACCACTTGGGTTCTTGTTCTGAGCAGATCATTGAGGGTGGAGCCTGAGACAATGCCTTTCTAACATCTTTCAACCTGGTGCTGGTCCATGGAAAGCCCTTTGAGTAGCAAGTGATCTGGGCCTTTCTGAACATATTGCAGGTCATCTTTTAGTAGATGGCAACCAAAACCCAACTGTGTTGGGATGGTCAATGTAGAATAGAGCAAGAGCAAGTTTTCAACTCATTTATCCCAGAAGTTAACATACACATTTTCATGAGGTCTGAAGACGACATAGAGGTTTTTTTTTGTTTTTTTTTTTTTTTTTTTTTTTTTTTGTGGCTCTCCTACGTTATTTCCTTAGCTCATATTTACTAAAGTCTGTAAGTCTTTGTCCCACAGGCCACCCCTGTGCTGTATTTCCCCATCTCTTAACTTTTGGTGTTGGTTTTTTGGATTTTATTGTAAAACCTGACACTGATCTTTTTGAATTTCATCACATTGGATTAGATTCATTCCTCATGCCAGTTGAGATCACTTGATATGTGTCATCCGGTATATTTACCATCTCTTCTAGCTTGGAGTCTTCAAATTAGACAGGTCTCTGTTTCTCTATCCTATTCCCTTGGAAACTTCTGGCCGTTAATTGCAGCTCTATTGTTTAAATCATCTGTCCTTGATCTTGTTCACAAGAATATTACAAGAGACTTTGATGGCTGTCTTACCAAAGTTCAGGTATATGACATCTGCATTTGGGAATACTGGGTGGTTTTCACATAGAGGCAGAAATATCACTCATTTCATAGATGCCTATTTTTATTATGTCAGAGGTTTTTAAGATATGTATTGGCATTTACTGATTGCAGATGATAGTAGCTATTTATCATTGAGAACTTTACTCTCTGGGCTGTTCTAGTATAATTTTTTAAAACGCATCGATCTCTCTCCCACTTCTGTTTTCCCTTGAGATGTAATTGCTGTGGGTCCTTGGAGGGTGTTGGGGGCCTTTAAAAACCTAAAGAAATGGTCCTTACCTTGTGTTCCCCCAGAATGATCTCTAGAAGTCCCATCTTGATTCAAAGTAAAGAAGTTTTATGCTGGTCCTTATCCCATCTGGACATGACCTTCCATCCAGTTAGGTTGATGTTCACTCCAGCCCCTCCCTCCTTCCCCAGATTGATTTCCACTTCCTCTGTGTGGTGGTCCATGTGATCCCAGGCTTAACTATGCTGCTCACGTGCCCAAATGTTCTTGGTAGGAGATGCCATTAATCAGCTCCATCTTACAGATGAGGAAATGCATAGCCAGCAATCTGTCACTGCTACAGTATGCATGTGACGGAAGTCTGATGACCGTCTCTGCGATCAGTTGGCCTGTTTATCTCTGCTAATACTGGGAAATGATATGTAGTGTGGTGTTCCCATAATCTGCCTGATTTATTCTTTCATGTGCCTCTTTGTTGACTCAGTACCATAGAAGCCCTTCTCTGCTGAGCCCCGGGCATCCAGTGGCTTGGGAGATAGATGTGGACCCTGCTCTTACAAGGCTGGCTCTTGTGGGTGGAGCATAACCACAGTCCCACCCCTTTGTAATCAGAGATGTTTGTTTGTTTGTTTGTTTTTTAAGATTGATTGATTTTAGAAAGGGGCAGAGGCAGAAGGAGAGTAAATCCCCAGCAGACTCCATGCTGAGTGCAGAGCCCGACATGGGGCTGGATCCCATGACCCCGAGATCACAACCTGAGCTGAAATCAAGACTCCTAACCAGCTGAGCCACCCAGGCGCCCCTATAATGAGAGCTTGAAGAGAGATTTACATTTTCTTTCTCTTTCCCCTTCCTTGTCAGGTCTACATCCGGATAAAAGACGATGAATGGAATGTCTATCGGCGGTACACAGAGTTTAGGAGTTTGCACCACAAGTTGCAGAACAAATACCCTCAAGTGAGGGGCTACAGCTTCCCACCCAAAAAGGCCATTGGAAACAAGGTACTGTCACTTCAGGGACCAGGCAGCTGGACCATGCACACACATGCTTCTGTAGATGTAGGACTCAGAAGTTGGCTAATGTAAGGAAAAAGAGGAACCAAGAAAACACTCATAATTCCATCCCTTAAAGACAAACATGTTCTGTTTTGTGTACGTCCTCTTCATTCTCTAGGGCAGAGGTCGGCAAACGTGTTCCATTAAAGGGCCAGAGAGGAACTATTTTTGACTTTGTGGAGCATATGACCTTAGCTGAAAATACTCAACTGTGTCATTGTCATGTGAAAGCAGCCGCAGACGGTGTGAGCACAGATGGGCATGGCCGTGTGCCAATAAAACTTTATTCATAAGAATAGATGGCAGCTCAATTTGGCTGATGCGTCATAGTTTGCTGACCCCTGTTCTGGACCCAAAAAAATGATTTCTGGTTTTTATCCATAGTTGTCGTGATGCTTATTTGGACTCATGAATGTGGGGCATATTCCCAATAAAGCTTTCTTGGAGGAGCTTCTTTTGGTATAGGGTTACTTCCCTTTTGAAGGCTAAGAACTGATAATGACATAATTTGTTTCCAGGTATTCATCCAGGCACGTTGGAGAAAGGTGCTAACCCTCCACGAGGTTGCTGGTGTTCATCCAGCAGGTGTTTACTGAACACCATTATGTATCGTGGGGCAGGGGATTGGAGCCCAGGGCCAGGAGGACAGGCCTGGGCCTCGTGTGGGCTTCGCATCGTCTGCCTCAGCCCATTGGCCTCATTTTGTCTTCCCTGACATTAGCTTAGAACAGCAGTTCTCTGTCTTGGCTACACTTAGAATCACATGGGGAGCTTTAAAAGCTTCTGAGACCTGTAGTCCCCACTCCCCTTAGGGTTTAAGGTCTAGAGTGAGTCAGGGGTCCTGAGGAATTTCAGACGTCTCCAGGTGGCTCCGGCATGCAGCAAAGCTGGAGAACCCCTGGCTTCCACTCTGGTAGGAAACGGTGACAGGTGCATGATTACAGTATATCAACTAGCTTGGCAGGGACAGTTCAGTTGGAAGAGGTAAGGTCATGACCCTACTGAGGACAGGTCAGAAGCTGGGCCTTGTTAGAAGGGGGAATCCCTCTACTCCCGGGGTTCTCAGAGTGTGGCCCCTGACAGCAGTAGCAGCATCACCTGGAACTCGTTAGAAATCCCGATTCCCAGGCCCTACCTCAGACCTACGGAAGTATCTGCTCTGGGGCTGGGGCCCAGAAACCTGGGTTTCAGTTTGTGTGGTGCTGATGCACAAGGAAGCGTGATGACCACGGTGCTATCACATTGACAGGGTGTGTGGCAGATTCCATATATGGTGAGTCCTAGTCTCAAGAGGCCCCTAGTTAGGGTCTTCTTGGATCTTCCTCGCAGAAAACTGCAAGGGTTTCCATAACCATTCCCAACCCTTGGGAGTTCCGCAGGGAAAACTATTACTGACTGTTCTGTTTACATGTTCATGGATTTCTGTGCTTCAACCAGATTAGAAACCTGATCACGTCAGGGTCTGTTAGATCTTAATTTAAACAGTTACAAAGCAGGTTTATCTGAGGCCTCGAATAAATGTGTCATTCCATTTTTTTCTGAAGATAAGTGGAGTTGAACCCATAAAAATGGAAGACTGAGAAATTCTACACTTGTTCATAGCAAGAAGGACAATAATTCTTATAAAAGAGGGGAAAAATTATATACTGATTTAATCTAATGACTTGCAAGCTCATACAAATCTTGGGACCCATCCAGAATGTCTTAAAATGTCATAAAGCAAAATTCTGCCTAACCTAATGTATTACCATTATAAGATACTCTCATTTGCAGCAAGCATTATACGGAAGCAGCCTTTCCATGACACCTTCTCTGGGGAGCTCGGCTTGTCTGTATGTCACTACAGGAAGTGAGCACAAAGCTGAATCAGGGGTATTCACGTGGTGAAATGTGTTGTGTGTTTGCCTCCTGCAGCTGCCCTACCACACTGGCACCCATTTAATGGTCTAAACACACAAATTGATTATCTTAGAGTTCTGGAGGTTGGAAATCCAGAATCCATCCGTCTGGCTGGGCTGAAATCAAGGTGTCAGCAAGGTTAGTTCTTTATGGAGGCTCCAGAGGGGAATCCTTTCCTTAGCGTGTGGCCTCCTGTGTCTCCAGAGCCAGCAATCACATGACTGTGACCTCACCTTCTGTCACATGGTCCCATCTCCTTCTGTGACTTCTCTCCCTCTTATAAGGACCCTCACGATGACAGTGGGCTCACCCTGGTAATCCACAATAATCTCCTGTCTCAGGATTCTTAACACATCTGCAAAGTCACTTTTGCCATGTAAGGTAAAATATTCTCAGGTTCTGGGATTAGGCATCGTTGGGGGCCTCATGTTGCCACATTCTTTCTCTGCAGACCAAACCGACACCCTCCCCACCTTGGATCTCAGGGCAAGCCTTGGAGTTATTCCAAACTTATTTAACACAAGACAAACCTACTGACACCACCTCCCAGGAGCAGGGACTGCCCTGACTTCCCCCTCTGAGGTGGGCCATCCTGCATCACATTCTCCTATCCTTGTCAATCTTGGGACTGACTCTGAGCAGCAGTGGGCTTTTGCCCTGTGAAATATGTGTCAATAGGGCACTGTCCCCGACCCCCCTGCCCCCATACCCAGTGCAATCCTGTTGGGAATAAAGGGGCTTGGGAATTAAAGGTAACATCTTGGTGGGCCTGGCCCAGTGATGGAGTTGTACAGATGCTCTGAATGGCTGGTTCTTCACTAGATTGTGGGTCCTTCTCACCATGGTCAGGGGCAGGCCTGATAGTTTCCTCTGTTGCTCAGGAACCTGACAGCTCCTGAGCAGTCATGGGGCCTCCATCTCTTGTCTAGCATGTGTGGCCCTTGGCCTTCGAATTGGCTGGTTGGCCATGACTATACTTTGATTCCCTCTCTCCCTGTGCGTTTGGCTAAGACTTACCCCCTTCCCTTAAGTATACTTTGGCTGCTTCCCAGAACAGGTTGGAGGGTTTATCTGATTTTCAAGGGCAGATTAAATCAGCATGCAGGATTGCAGCATCCAGCAAAGGCTACTGATGATGTTTGTCAAGAGACAAAGTCTGCACTGGTCCCAAATGGGCCTACAGGCTCAAGATACCTGCCTTCATACCCCAAGGGCAATTTTCTAGTGCATTTTCATTCTAAATTGGTCCAGAAAAATCAACTGTGTCAGCATCTTTTCCTTGATTGGATCACTTCGAGAATGTCTCACTTACCGCTTAACACCATTAAAGTACAAAGACATGACTTCTTTGTGGATTGAGTTACATGTCCCTTACTACCATAAGCCTTGGATCCATTAAATGATTCAATCCAAAATCCACAGACCTGGACACTATTCAAGAAAATACTAGCCACAGTTTATTTTTTTCAAATTTGTCATATGAGTATCTTTCTAGCCTGAATTTCTAGGTATTTGCCTAACACTGCCACTGTTGTTGGTTATCTGCCAGTTGTAGAATTAAAATATCATCTTAATGATGATAGTTCTGACTTAAAAAAATTTATTTATATATTTGAGAGAGAAGAGAGTGAGCAAGCAAGTACGTGAGAGGGGCTGAGGGAGAGAATCTCAGGCAGTCTCCCCACTGAGCCCAACACAGGGTTAATTTTCATGACCTGTGAAATCATGACCTGAGCCACAACCAAGAGTGAGATGCTTAACTGATATACTCAGGCACCCCCAAGTTTGAACTTTATTTTTTTTTATGATAGTCACAGAGAGAGAGAGAGAGAGGCAGAGACACAGGCAGAGGGAGAAGCAGGCTCCACGCACCGGGAGCCCCACGTGGGATTCGATCCCGGGTCTCCAGGATCGCGCCCTGGGCCAAAGGCAGGCGCCAAACCGCTGCGCCACCCAGGGATCCCCAAGTTTGAACTTTAATTGATAAATAGCACATTGAATAGTTTGTGGATGCAGCATTTGTCTTTAGCAAGGAATTTCTTTGGTCTTAGTATGCCATGTGTATGTGCAGCTGTTCATACCCAGAGCACTCACTAGAGCTCCACATGCCTTCAGGTGCCATATCAGGCCTAAATCATGTTAAGGTAGTTTCCTGATTATCAGTCTACCACTTGATGAAGTGTATTCCTTGGTAGCTGAGTCAAGCAAGCCACAATAGTTGTATATTAAAGTTACTTATTAAATTTTAAATAGCACAGCCATGGCGCTTGTATCTATCAAGATAGTCTTGGTTAAGCTGGAGTAACAAATCCATGATCTTGACACTCTTAGCCAACCAAGGTGTATTTTTGGCTCTCCTCAGGAGACCAAGGATAGGGGCAAATCAGACACACTGGCTCTTAAATCTTCTGCCCAGATGTGAAACATGTTAATTCCACTCCTCTTTCATTGGCCAAAGCCACTTACTGAGCTGTGCTTAATGCCAGGGGAGCAAAGGAGTCCACTGCTACCATGTGCCCTGGAGAACTAGAATTTTTGCAGTCTGCTCCCATGACCCCCCCAGGGGTGGCACTTGTCTTGAGCCACATTTCTGAGCAGGGTGTGGATAACAGGAGAGCACAGCTCTACCAGTTCAAAACTGGCACACTGAGTCCTGTGGTTTCCCTCCATGAGTCCCAGTTCAGGTGCTTCCCTTCATCCTGTTTCAGTTTTCCCAGCCCACGCCTGGTCCTTCCTGGTGTGGGCATCTGCACCTTTTCTACTCTTGCCTGCTCGCTCCTCCATTCCCTATGCTACAGCCACAATGAGGTTTGTACAACATAGATTACATGGCGTCATTGTTGATGAAACTCCCTCCCCCACCCGCCGCCAGTGGTGCCCATGGCAGTTAAATTCGAGACTCTTAATGGCCTTCGAGATGTCCCCTGATCTGTCCCCCGCTTCCTCTCCTACCTTATCTCCTGCCCCACCCTCTCCCCCCTTACACCTAGTACACTGACGACCTAAGGCTTCCATGCTGTTCTTACCTTGTGGACTTTGCTCCTGCT